AATTTGGTAGGCCAGAATCAAGCCTTAGAAGTTTTAAGCACCTAGTAGTCATCATCGTTGGTATAACTAGACTAGCAGTCACCAGAAAGTAACAGTTTCAGTAGTTTTGCTTTATCTGGAGTTCTCTCAAACCCAAGGTCAATCTTGGAAAAAGCAAATATGCAAGTTGAAATGTGAGAAATCAACCTAAAATAAAATCTTTTCATTCCATCTTTAGACCTCATTCCTGAAATTGTTCAGCATGTAGATCTGCTAATGAAAACAATGGGAACTTCTAACTGTGGGCTGATGACATCAGTGATGTTTTCGTTATTTCCATAACAAACTAATCACATGTTAAATATCATGTGATTGCTGAGTCCCACCTTCAGATAATTAGGTGCTGCAGAAAGTGGTTTGGAACACAACTACTCTACTTAATACTTGCTTATATATACCAGCAACAGATGCAGTCTTCTGTGCTGGTAATTTCTTTGCTTCCTAAATATTTAGCAAAATTATCATTGTGGATTAGCATTGCTATCCAGAATGTGATCCCTTAGGCATGGCCCACGCATAGAATATTGAAGGGACATTAGTAGGACAGTTCAGTGATTTGTCCACATCTCCAGCTACTCTGTTCTCTTCCTATTGAATAGATATAAAATAACAAGGTTGTGGATTTTCAACAAGTGTCAAGAAAAATTTGTCAGTGATAAAGGACCCTGAGGAGGCTGCAGGAGCAAGTTCCAGCTCAAGTTGCTAGGGATGTATAATGCAATTTAAGAAATTAATTCCAAGACAGTCAATTTTCTCATCATTCAAGCACAACATAGCCTGCAAGCTACTTCCAAAAGGATCAATAGCTGTTACCAGTGAGCAGCCTGACCCACAACCACTCTGCTCAGAGGTGTTTTGAGCTCCAGAAATGGACCAGTTCCCCGTCCATCATGAACAGTTTAGTTTGCAAACCCAGGCTCAGGTGTAGCAGTGGCAGTCTCAGAGATATCAATGAAGGCCTCTGCTGACGCTGCTGCCTCCCTCATTTCAGGATTAGAGCAATCTCTGCTTGTAGCAGTAGAGGCTGATGAAGAAGCCCAGTTCTTTGTTTATGCTTATGAGGACAGCAGCTCTCCCCGAACACAGTTAAGTGATTTTTCAAATCAACAGCTCAGTACCTGCAATGTCACAGTTACTATGGCAGCCGTGCCAGGTTTTTGTGCAAAGAGTGGTATTAAAGAGCAGTAAGTATTATGAACGGAAAGGAATTGCAATGCAGTGCAACCTTAAAACTTTAGAATCCTATTGAAATTAGTGTCTACAAGTATTAAAATGCACCTACAGCTTTTATCATTTTTAAAAATTGTTTGAGGCATCTAATTATTTCATTGCTCACAAAACAAAATGTTACTACCTCCCTCTTTGGGGAAATAATTGGCTAATTCTGCATGGAGAAGAAAGGAGGCAGAGGTGAGATCTGCAGAAAAGACTGTTTATGTTGTGACAAACCAGTGACATCTAAATAAAAGTAAAGGCATAGAATGCAATTACCAGTATATGGGTAAATGCATAGTGTCATATACATCTCTGTGTGCATGTGTGCACGCGTGCATGTGTGTGTGTGCAAAGCAACAAATATAACTTGAAAAGGCTTTTGCCTACTACTCTTCTATGTTGTCTGAAACCAGAGGATCAGAATCATATTTCCAAACCCTACCTAATGTATTTTTTGGGGGGGCTTGTTTTGTTACTTGACTTCAAAACCATTAAAAAATAAATGACAGTATCATGTAGCGTTCAGAACCAGCTAGTGGATGAATCTGGAAAAGGCACTGAAATTAAGTCTATCCATTGAGTTTGTCTTTCCTTAAAGACTTGCGGGACCACCCATTGCCTTACAGTGTCTAGGTAATAAGCATTGTGCAACCGAGGTATAGGATGCTGCCAATACCACTCAGTTAAGATATCTCCTCAGCATTTGTGAAACTTCAGAAAGCATATTTTGACTGGTTTTTCCTCCCTTCAACCAAAATACTCATATCGAGCTGTGCCATATTTCGAGTATATTCTCAATACACTAATTTGCACTTTAAAACCCTAAAATAAATCCTACACTAAATAGCACTTTAAATTGTTTTATAAATGTCAAACAAGTCACACAGAGAAAACATACTATTCTCAGTCTATCCTCATGGGAATGTGTGGAGCAAAATGGGCAAATTTGACAAACTATTTTCATTATTTACAGCCGAGAGTAAATTTTACTCTATTTTTCAAATTCATGGCCTGCTGTAGTGTTTTCTATATGTAGTGTCCTGTGCTGGCATTTAAAATACTGTATGTGTTTCCGAGGAGAACATCAGAAAATGGATTGCTTTTTTTAAAAATCCACATTCTGCTGTCGTATTTCCATACGTAATGTACTCTGTGTGTCTAAAACATGTACAGCCATTCTGCATGACTGATACTGGAAATGCTATAAAAAAATCTGGGTAAAATTTGGGGAGGGGAAGAGCAGGAATTTTCCCCTCAGTAATATTGCACAGAGGTATAAATCAGCACAAACAGAATATACTCAAATACTAAAACACAACTCACAGTCCACTGCCTCTCCAAAGCTCTGAGCGACAGTAGGCTTCATGACAAACAGGTCATTCATGCACCATCCTGTGTCATGCAAAAACATATCTGATTTCTAACCGCAGTCTTCTGCTCGCAGGACTAGGAACCAATGCACGCCCGTTTCTGAAACTGCCCCTCTATGCGGAAGTACAGGTGGCTGCTGTTACACCTAACACGATCATGTTTTGTTTCTCCTCCCACTTAACAGACTTTATTTTATTTGGTGCAGTGCACATGAACGCAGTGTCTAGGACAGATGTGCTACCTTTTATAGTGTCGCTATAGAACTCTTTAGCTGTGAACCCTTAATTTGCAGCTGGAACTCTAATAAACAGTGCATAGTGTTTCAATAGCCTTCTGCTTATATGTTTGAAGATTCGAAACTGAATGGTGAGGTGGCCAAGGCGGCGCTGGCAAACGAAGACTGTCCCCACATAGACCAGGCTATTACGCCTGATGAGGGCCTGCCCTTTACCCGCTCTGGCACTCGGGAGAGATATGGACCCTGCTTCCTCTTATCAACCGGGGAATATCCCTGCCCGCCTGATGGAGGAATAAGAAAGGGTATGTAGCTGGGGTCCTGTAACCACATAGTTAGCAACCATTTTAAATAAATAAGAGAAAGTCAGCTGTAGCTGTAGCACGCAATAGTGCGCTTGCTGTAGACATGCACGTTTGGGCTGGAAACCACCACCTGTTGTCTGCATTTGGAGTTTCTAACCTATTTCTTTCAGAAAGAAAAACCTGAAGAGCTGTAACTACCCCATGCAGCTATGCTAGGCAGTCGAGTCTTCCACCCCAGCTGGTGCAGTAAGCTTTAGCGGAGGATGCTCTACAACGTCCTTAAATTAGCCCATCCTCCAAGGAAAAGCCAATTAACATTTCATAGCAATGAAGGTTTGCCACTTGGAAAGCTCACAGAACTTACCAGACTCTGAAGAGCACAGACTTGGAGGTGGCAGACAGAAAAGATAAAACACAAAAGCAAAACATCCTCAAGAAATATGAAATGATTATTTGGCTACCTTAACAGAGTGCTAAAACAAATTATTTGGATATTCATAGCTGTTTAGTTCAACAGAGAAAGAGAAGTATACAAGAACATCTGTTAGCACAGGTGTCCTACAATTGGAAAATAATCCATCTAAAATCACTTTCATAAATAAATCATTACTAGTTAGTTTCTCAGACTTCTGACAGCTACAGATCTCTCAGAAGTAACTGTATTTTAGTTTGCTAATGGTCAGAACAATCTATTTAGCAACAGAAAAAATGAAAAAATCAAATGATAAAACCTTCACTTCTTAAAATAGGCTGTTTTAAATAATTTAACGTGAAGAAACCACACAAACCAAAATTAGAGTTACAGATACATGCATCAAAGTTGATAAGGAACAGGAAAATTGGAAAAGAAATCTCTCTTTGAATCAGTGTTTATCACTGGTGTACTGTATATAGTATATGATATAGTCAATATTTTAAAACTGCAAAGATTGTATGATGTAACCATACACTGAGTATGGAGTATAGAATTCCCACGTGCCATTGTATGATGGGCAATAGTTATAGTAAATGCCAGTTATAGATAGTGTATGTATTTATAAGTTTAAAGCTTATCATCAACAAAGATATAGTTGGACCATGAGACTTTCATATGAAAGTATATCCTCTAAAATTTACCTTTGTAGCAAAGCGTTTTACTTGATTCTGTATTGGATAAGCATTGGCCGTGTTCATTCAGCCTGGGCGAGTTCGGGTGGTTCCAGTGGATCAGGGGAACACTCCAAATGGCACATCCTTTGGGATGAGGAATGTATGGTTTTCACGATGCACTGCAACCGCCTCTCGTTACTGAATGAAACAGAGGCTGGTTGGCTAAAGAGTAATATACGTCAGCATATTGTTGGCCTGTTTGAACCACGTTGAGAACATCTTAATTGTTGTTCCAACAGAATTTCATCCATAGTTTGTGCAACTCTCCGTACACTTGCTCAGCCGTTTATGTGCATGTCTGAAAAAGAAGGGGGGAGGGGGAGGAGGGAAACCGAATGCATGCAATTATTTTTATTTATTTTTTTAATGCTGAGAACAAAGGAGTAGTATCTCTACAGCAACACAATAAATTATGTGGATTTTGCTGCCTTTTCCCCCTCCTGCCCCCAAAGATACCAGAAACCTTAATTTTGCCTGAGGTCAAAATGCATGAAATGGAAGGGAGAGGTACATGTGAGTGTATGATGGAGATATAGAAAATCCCTCCCACTGACTCTTTTTTTTTTTAGGGTACAACCATGTTGCTGCCTGTAGGATCAATTACATAGCCTGACCATCCTTGAGAAATGATGATTTTTTTTTTTTACTTTTTTTTTTTACTTTTTTTTTCTTTTAAACTTATTCTGTACTTCAATGGCCTTCTGAGTCATGTTGCAAGCGATACTACTCTCGGCATGTCCATGCATGCAGATGCTATTGAACTGGCTACAATGTTGACCTCATTCTTAGTCCATTCTGTCATTGATCCAATGCTGTACTTTGCATTTTTCTTTCAAATGAAGGTTACGAAATGTCACGGAGCCTTAACAGCATAGCTGGCATAAGTGGAAAAGCGATAGGATTATCCTCAGTGTCTGCGCCCTACAGCTCTCCTAGCCCAGTGAGACGTTCTTGGTCTCCCATCCCATCTATTTTGTAGCATGGATCAGTAGCAGAGAATGGTCTAAAAAGCTTTATTTTCAATTAGCCTACGCTATGTTGCATATAATCCAGGTGACTAAGTCTGAAGATGCAATGTCTCACAGTAGCACCTGCTGGGAATGGTGTTACTACTGATGCTAGGTGACAACACTCCTAAATAGCACTCAGATGACAATAGGCAGGCATTTACATAGTACTGGTGGGCCATATGTGCTGCATGGTATCAGTACATAGGATGAAGGGTAGATGCACCAGATAGTTTCCTTCCTGGTGCATCCTGCTAGTATATGCTTATTCTGGCTAATGGTGGATCTACTGGCTCTGTATGGAACGGGTTAGGCATTTAGTCGATGCTGAAACATGCCAACGATGGAAGATTTTGCTTTTCTCAGGATATTTTTGAGCCATAGGAACCCTGCAGGAGTTTGAGCAAACAAGCACAGTAGGATGAAACTTTGCATGGGCGCCTATTTTAAGCTGAAAGCAATACTCAGACACACTGTAGAGAGGTCTCAGTCTGGCTGACTGCATGGGAAAAAAAAATCCTGTTGAAGAAGAATATGGCTGCCTCTGCATGTAGCTATTTCACCTTTTCCTCCTTCCTTTAAAACTAAGATGCCGAGCTTGATGTGAAAAGCGCAGGGAAGAAGCTCAAGTACTGATTGTATTCTTTACATGCAGATCTTTGCAAAGAAAGTCCAGTCATTGCTAAATATATGCCAACAGAGGCAGTCAGAGTGACCTGACAAGGCAAGATGGAGATGAACATTGATGGCTAATAAACATCTGTGTGGAACTGTGCAGGCATAGAAGACCTTCTCATTTGGACAAAGTTAACTCGCTCCATGCAGGTTTTATGGATGATTCTTCATGGTTTTGGAGTTGTACTAGAGATGCAGGCTTTTTCTACGGCCAAAATGTAACAAAACTGTAGAAGATCCTTTTTTTTAATCTATTTTTTTGTTCCATAGCATGAATTGCATGAAGACAAAAATTTAAAAAAAAAAAAAAAAAAACACAACACAAAAACAAAAACCAAGAAACACTGCAAATGTATGATTAAGGAGAAAAAAAAGCAAAGTTATATATTTTCTTTCAAAGCTCTTTACTTTTACATACATTGTTGTAGCCAAAATGTAAAACATTATAAAACTGTACATTTCTTTGCTATGGATCGCTTCTTTTTGTATACAAGATACAGAGTAATGGTTTTAAAAAGTGCAATCAGGCAGTCATCGGTCATATTGACCACGCCTTCACAGTTCATCACACCGACATGGAAACCAAGAACTTTTAATCCAACTAGAAGTGTATAAAATAAGAAAAAACTTTTTCCTGTCTGTTTTTGTTGGCATGCTTGTGACACATGGGACCTTCCTTCGGACCTGACAGTAACAGCTGGTCTAGATTTAATTTTCCAGCTCTGGTTATGTTGTATTTTATTGATGTATAGATCCAACGTAAAGACCCTTCATAAATTGTTCATATTAAGTAATCAGTATGAATTTTAAACAAAAAAGGTGTTATTTTAAAACTGGGACTTATATTACAAAATCAGGAAAATACTCAAGTATAAATGGTCTCAAAGTTTAAGAAACAAGACAACAGCATTGTATGCAATTTAGTACTGAGTAAAATGCATGCACAATGTTATGCAAAACAATTCTAGCATGAAATAAATTTTGTATCATGGTTTCAGTGCCTGCTGTATAGTGTAAAGGGGAATCCTTTTCTGAAGCGATCAGGGGTTTCCAGAGACTTGCTTCTAAAATCTTGAATAAATACAGTGTTCTCAACAGAAATGTAGGAGAAAAGCTTGGTATTGCTTTGGTTCTACAATGCTAATTTTGGTTAGTAGATAATAAATGAAGCCTGCAAACACTTGATACAACCAATGTCTGAAGAATTCACACCATTAGTAATTTTACAAGGGAAGATTAAAAACCCCTACAATTATCTAGGTATCTTCCTTTTCCCTCCCCAACAATAATAAAAGTTTGTCTTTTTAGCTGATTAAATGAATTCAGTTTTTCTTACTTCTTTGGGCCCCATCCTTCAACTTCTTCACTGAGCCACAGCAGTCCACCTGATACGAAACTCTGAAAGAAATCCAGGTGTTCAAGTCGCACTTTATTTGCCACACAAAACATGCAGCAGTAAGAACCAAGAAAAACAATGGGATTAAATTTCAGTTTAGATGCTACAAATGACAACTATGGACTATGTGTCAACAGCATTCTAGTCCCTTGAGCATTTTTGGTAAAGTACTTCTGTAACGAAGAATACACCTTTAATCCTCACGTGAGGAACTTTGAAAGAGCTGGCAACCTTCTAGGCAAGCTACAGTATCTGTGACTGCTGATGATAATGGAAATGTAAAGGAATAGTATTGCTATGGTCTGGAGGAAGCAGAGATTAAACCTAAAAAAATGAAGAAACACACATGGCTCTGGTAAGTGCTAAGTTATAAATAAAAAAAACCCTTCTGCAGCTGGACCTTTACAAAACTCTACTCCAAAAGGAAAATCAAGGAAGACCTCAAGCTGTGTTTAAGGAATATAAGAAAGACTGATAATCTGAATTTGTACATAACTAGAAAACTCCTTTGTAGTCCTTGATGTAGCATTATATACTTGATTTCTACTTCAGTTGACTATCCTCTCTCCCAAGAACTATTTTTCTCCCTGTTTCTATGCTGTTATTCTCTGCTGATAAATGGGCAATTTCTTACCTCCAGAGGTAAGATTCAGGTTAATCCAGAATCCAAAAGTTGCCTAATGAACAACTTCTCTTACAATGTATTAAGAATCCAGAAATAGATTTATCCACTCCATTTTTTATTTAACGCTAACTCAAGGGTCCAGCATGAAGGCTGTTCAAATTCTCTGTTACTGTAAGAAATACTAAAAATTCAGCCCTGTAAATCCTACTTAGGTCTTCTCCTTTCACTGCGCTTTGTATAAATGTATGAGCCTTAGCTAACAGATTGGGCACGTATGCCCTAAGGCAACTGTCATTCTGTGCTACTTTTTACATCTACCAGTCCCATTTTCATTCAGGTACTGCTCTCAGCTTATTCTGATTTGAGGTAACCATGCCTTTTGGGTGACTTCTATAATCCCTTCAGAAACAGAACAGCACTTCCCATCCATCGCCCTTCAGGAGATGCTCTAAAGCTGCAGGTCTGTCTGACCCCAGAGTTCCCCTTGCACAACAGTGGCGGCGGCGGCAACACCGGGAAC